TTGGAACGAAGTTACGGAAAGTTAATTAACAAACGGAGACGTAACACCACATATGTTCTCCTTCATCTGGTTCTTTTTTTCCTGCCCAAAACTTCGGCGGCTCGTGAGGGACATTATTCATTCACATCGACTGCTGTTCCCTCAATTTACCACCTTTATTTTTGGGTCTGATTCGAATAGACTTTTATGTTCCATCTGTGCTTTTCATTGTTATCTTGCTTTGTGACCTTTGGTCATCCCGAAAGTTCAAGTTTTAGTCAAAGTTCTATTTTATTTTCAGCAAAATAATCCCACTTCTGACGCAAATGATGTAACATGTTCTAATATTTGGGCAGGTTATTTTGGATTACTTGATAAAAATAATGATAAGTCCAGTCCAGATAATTATAATAAATTTATTTATTTCTTCAATAAATAATTAACGTTTGTTGAATGCTATATTTACTTGTAGGCTTAATTTAAATACAACAGTTCAAATAATATTCAACAGAACTTCTGAAAACTAAGGAACTTCTAACTCACAATTAAACTCAAAATTCACTTCCATAATTTAAATTCCATTAATCTTTAATGTCAAACTGGCACTGAATTAACTCTGTTGTTAACTCACTGATTTTCGTCTTTATATCGTACTAGCTTTGTACTTGCTACACAAAATTTCTAGGTATCATAACGTCATCATCATTATTAGGCAATGACGAATTCCCTTGAGCAAACAAACATTTAAATTAACATATTGAAAATATAGCTTATCATAAAAAGAACCTACATTGTGTGTATATATATATATATATTGCTAATATTAATTTTATTGATGTTTTAATGGAATGGACATAAATCTGAGGTATGGTCAAGTGATGGAAATGGGGTCCACACCGTGTACCTAGTTCTCAGTTTGCATTATTTTTCCCATTGGTCAAGTATAGTAGTACTGAAGATATTTATTAATCCTATTGTCACGGGTTAAAGACCATGTCATCGCGTTTGTTGACTTATGTTAAAACTTTTATTGAACTACTATTTTATGAATTTATGTCAATAAGTTTGGTATCAAATTATAGATTATAATTCAAATTTTTGTATTATACATTAGTTAATTTCTTAATTTAAAAGCAAATATTAAAAGAACACACCTAAATATTGATTTTTGTACGTCACGTGGTTGTATGTGAATGCATCATTGGTTCACATTATATGTTTGTGATGCCCAAATACAAAGTCTAAAGTTTCTTATGAATTAGGAACTCAAATTACTGATATTGAAAAGCTAGTATATAAAATAAGGCCCCCCAGTGGCACAGCGGCATGTCTGTGGACTTACAACGCTAGAAACCGGGTTTCGATACCCGTGGTGGGCAGAGCACAGATAGCCCTTGTGTAGCTTTGTGCATAATTAAAAACAAAACAAAACATATAAAATAAGAACCTCCTATCTTTTGTATTTGCTTTTTATACCTATAATCCCACTGCTCCTTCTAAGCGTGTACCTAGTTCCTAAAACCCATTTCCTTTCCTGGGAATGGCGAAGAAGGTCTTGAAAATATAATTTTATGCATCCTTCAGAATCACCGACAGTTATACAGGCAAATATTTGGATCTGAAAAATGGGGAACATTGATCAATTTCTTATGATGTACATTTTCTTAAACTCGTGCTTATGCCTTTAATGTGTACTTTCCTTATCACTGGAGGAACAGCTTTCAGTTTTAGAGTGTTTGTTATTGAGATGATTTTTATGCTTATTTTTTCATTACACCCTTTTTGTAGTTTGGTTTGAAACTCACAATTAATTCAGAGCTATAACAATAAAACTGAATGCTTCATTTTTATAATTTCTCCAGAAACAAATTTCTCATTGGACAATATGTTCAACGAGTTTAATATATTGAAACCTAGCGGCAGGATTAAAAATAGACTAATTTAGCATCAAATATGGCATACAGAAGTAAGTAATTATTTATAATATAAGTTTGTACCTAACTAACCAATAAAAATAATCATTAATTTAAAAATAATATTCAACAGCACCCATAACAAAACGTAATACTATTAATATATTTGAATGAATTGAGACTAATTACTTATTGAATTTAAAATGTTTTGAAGTTATTCGATTGCTTTAACGATGTGAAAGGAATGAAAGATATTATTAGTATTACTAAATGTTAGTGTTAAACCTAATAAAAGTCATATTGTAAACGCCATAACTTAATATAATTATAAGTCGCTGTAGCCTTCCCTTAGGGAGAGCCTATCTTAGGCTTAACTGTTATACCTAACTTGTAGGCCAAAGTGTAATAAACTTAAAATAAGACCCAAAATCGAGCACTTTCGAATAGTTGACTATTCTTCAGGATATCAATAGTCAAATATCGAAAGCGCTCGAGTTTTGGGTCGTATTTTAAATTTATTACACTTTATATGTGATCCTTTGTACTAATTCTTTTATCAAGATTGTAGGCCAAAGTTTAGACTCATTACTTTTATTACCACGTAGAAAGTTATGCATAGGCCTAAGATACTACATCGACTTTTTAGGTCATCCTGTTCTTTTCCGCTTATGTAGGGCAACCTTAAATATTGTTATTACAAATACGTTTAGGCCTATGTATATGGCAAGTTGTGTTATTAACTAATTGTAATATTATATCTTTGCAAAATAGTATTTTTTAATTTGTTTTTTACATAGGTAGATCTTGTGAATATCAAAACGAAGCCAATACGTTTTTCATCAAGGTAAGGTTTCAAAATAATGTTTCATTTATAAGTTAAACTTAGGATCAGAACACTACAAAATTAAACCATTAGATGTATATGAGTTCATATTTATATATTTATTGTAAATTAATATATGTAATCTCGTTTTAATTGAAATGCTTACTAATTTAGAGTTTCTCCTTAGTTCATTATAATGTTTTTTTTTACATAAATCGGATTTAAATGAAATAGAGTGTAAACTGCAACTTTAACTTAATATTGTTACGTCTCCGTTCGTTAATTAATTTTCCGTAACTTCGTTCCGACGAAACTTTAGCGACACAAGTCCTTTCTTAATAAAACTGGTTTATTCTTTCCGAATACAACTTTACGATACACTTAACCTCAACAGTCGCGCTAAAATAAACGCTATATCTCACGTGGCCAACAATATTTTGTCCACATACATTCAATTACTCATTACCTGTTGTCCCGCACGTTGTCAACGTCTTATATATACAAGACTAACACATATCTAGTAGTCTCCCGATAATTCACGAAGGTTCGAGAGAAGGGGCGTAATACTAGTCACGTGACCTCGCTGAC